ACGGCGTGCACACACAGGAGAGGAGGAGGTGGCGGCGTGCACACACAGGAGAGGAGGTGGTGACGGCGTGCACACACAGGAGAGGAGGAGGTGACGGCGTGCACACACAGGAGAGGAGGAGGTGACGGCGTGCACACAGAATACAGCACTAGCCGGCACCTTGTGCTGCTGTGAATGACGGCGCTCATCTCTGGCAGCAGAACATTCATCCACAACAACACAAGGATTAGGGGGATACTTTATTTCCAGCAGGAAGCACACACTGGCAATGGCTGTAACCTCCGTACACAGGGATAGGCTGCAGAGACAGATCACCGTACAGCAATTCCCCAACGCCCTGCATCGTGTACTCCTCACCCCGTCCCTACAAGTCAGTAACATATCCCCTTCCTGTGCGCTCCGCTGGCAGCGATCCGACACTTGTGAGGCTCCGCAGCGGGATGGGCGGGTTGCCGCGCATGGGCCAAGTCTCACCTTGAACTGTTTCCCGCACGTGGAGCAGAGGAAGTCCTTGCGGTCAGAGTGTCTGAGCATGTGTAGACGCAGTTTGTCCGGCCGGCAGAAAGCTTTATCACACTCCGTACATTGGTAAATCTTTTCCGAGTGGAAGCTTCGCACATGTTTCTTCACCTGGGCGACACAAACAAAGTACAACGTAAAGCCTGGGAAGAGACAAACCCGCTGGAGCACGGACTGACGGGAAAGAACGTTGGAGCCGGATTCCTGGGAAGAGGTTGGTGTCCTAAACTCCTAGCGGACAGTGTCATGGCCCGGGATTCGATCCAAGAACCCCAGTGCTGCAAGACAGAAATACTAAAAAGCACTCAGCCACTCTGTGAAGGTTTATCAGTAGGCAGCTCTCCGGACTAGAGGGACGCGGCTCGGCCAATGAAACAACAGACCAGAAAGTATAGAAAGAGGAGGACTAGACTAATATTGAGGTCCGGATCTAGATTATCATTTGTAGTCTGGATGCACCGATACCACTTTTTTAAGACCGAGTACGAGTACCGATACTTTTGCTCAAGTACTCGCCGATACCAATTACCGATACTTTTTCTTAAAGGACCCGGCCACATTTTTTCTAAAGCAATACAAACTAATGATTTTAGGTCAGCTTCTTAATATTATGATTCATGAGATGACGAGGGAGCATGACGCCACCTTTCCGACCAATCAGAATGCCAGGTGCTGCGTCATTACACGGCGCCCGGCTTCCGGATTGGCTAGCTTCCTGACCAATCGGGAAGCCGGGCAGCGCGTCATTACATGCATCACAAGTGACGAGAGAGCATGGAGCAGTTTCCCGGCCAATAAGGAAACCGGGCAGCGTGTATGACGAGCTGCCCGGCTTCCTGATACAGGAAGTACTCGTGCTAGGTATCGGAGCATTTGGGCGAGTACGAGTACTCACCCAAATACTCGGTATCGGCACCGATACTGATACTAGTATCGGTATCGGTGCATCCCTAATTTGTAGCTATTTAATGTTACCTCGTCACTGTACTAAATGTTCACCTGCTGGTGACCTCCACGTCACCGCCGAGTCCAGGAATGACAGAGCTGTCCAATATGAGGAACCAGTGAGGTGGGGGGAGGAACCAGGGGATGGAAAGAACCAGCGAGAGCTGCAGTGGGACTCTCATCCTCTAGATGAGCGGTTCTAAACCCGTGTAACCTCAGGACCCACATTTGTTCTCGGTCATTAAGTCGCACTGCAATGGAACGCATGGCATAAGGGTACCACACGTTCCGGGAGGTGATTTGGGGGTACCATTCAAATGGATGGCAACGCAACACACCTCCCAAACCAGAATGCGCGGTAGGTGTGATTGCGCGGTGTAGTGCGTTAATCGCACGGTACTACCCTGTTTCCCCGAAAATAAGACCTGGTTGTGACCATTCCCGGGGCCGGTGGTGGCATAAGGGGGAACTTGAAGAGCCGCGGGAGAGAATCGGCGGTGCCAACTAAACCAGCGCTAGAGGAAGTGAGGCGGCAGTGGAGGGAGCAGAGCCGCATAAGCCGATGCTTCCTCCATAGCCCCGCCTCCTGTCACGGGCGGAGTCATACCAAATGCACTCCCCGCCTGTGAGGAATCCATAGTGAAAGCTTCGCTCATTCTGGCCAGCGATTGGTTAGCAAATTGCTCTAGGAAAGGTACGGCCCCCTGATCACCATATTTTTGTACGTGAATACATGTAGACTGTTGTACATAAAAAAAAAAAATAAGACCTAGTGTGTTTTTTTGAGCCAAATTTTCGGGGGAAACGCGGTACTATGTGATTGGCGCACTGTACTAGTGAGGAAGAGGCCCTCAAATACACTGACAGACACACACGCCCACAGACACAATCTCACCGACATTCACACTTTTTGTAAAGTTTTTTTTAAACTAATTTTTTATTTAAGGTCCGCCCATTCTCCTCACCTTATAACTGGAGCGGATCCTCAGCCTGGGGTCCAGTGCGGGCTGCTGTGCTGTGACGGAGCTCCATCCATACCATGCATTGATGGTACAGCTCCCATGTGCGTACCGTGTAGAGGTGCCGGGAGCAAGAATGTGATGTCACTCCGGTCCAGGCACCTCTACAGGACACATGGAGGGAGCTGTAAGCAACGCACGTATGGGAGGGAGCTCCCTCACGGTCCAAGCCCCATCCCACCTCAAGCTGACACTCGGCACCGGGCAGCATATTTTGAATGGCTGATTGGCGTGAGAACTGACAGAGCTGCGCTAGGGGCAGGCAGGGGAGCCCGTCACCTAGAGAAGTGGAAGGCATGCGGCGACCCACTGAACACGGGGTCACAGCCCACCATTTGAGAACCAAGGCTCTAAAGTGAATATTCCAGGGGAAATGAAGGCTGTATGGGGAAGGACCGTACTGCGCATGTAATGATGGATTTAGGAATACAGAGCGCGCGTTAATATGGGGCCGTTATATCTGCCTGGTGTTCAGCTTTAAGAGGAATGAACCACCCCAAACGCATCTAACCTGAATGAAATCCGTGAAGCGTTTCTTGCAGGTAGGGCAGCTGAAGCAGCCATCGACAACGTGCACAGCGACGTGGTCCTTCAGCAGATCCAGGCGGTCAAACGACTCCGGGCAGAAGATACAGGAATAGGTCCTCTGGTCCAGGTGGAACTTCATGTGGTTCTCCAGGGAGCTGGTGCTGATGAAGCCTTTGTTGCAGATGTCGCAGGTGAGCGGACAGTTGCTGTCTCGCCCGTGGAAACGCAAGTGCTGGTCCAGCTTCTCCTTCTCCCTGAAGGCCTTTCCGCACTGCAAGCATTTGAACGGCCGGAAGGACTTCCGTATGAAGAGGTGCTGCAGAGCGGCGTTCTACAAGACACAAGTCAGGATATAATCCGTCAGTAAATGTTCCGTTTCTATATCTTAAATAACAGATTTTTAGGGATTACAGTGCCCAGTATAGAAGCATGGAAGACTTGCAGTATACACACGGTAGGGACAATGCATCATAATACAGTTCGAGAATGGAGCACATGACCCAAGTCACCACAATAGACGCTTGCTTCACCAAAAGGAGAAAATGGAAAGGGGTGAAGGTTGGGCAAGAAGTGGGAGCGGGTTGGGGAGCAGTGATGGGCTCGGGCGTGTTCGCAGCTCCACGTGCCGAGCCCGCCAGGAAGCTGACAGCGCCGATCACAGGTACTGAGACATTATCCCGGTCCGCAGCTGCAGAGATCGAGATATGTCTCGGGTCCTGTGATTGGCGCTGCGGCGCTGTCAGCTTCCTGGCGGGCTCGACACGTGGAGCTGGGAACGCGCCCGAGCCCGTCACTATTGGGGAGTAACAGAAGCAGGAACACAGGGAGGGGGGGGTCAGCTCTTAGGGAAACCAGGATCCCATCACCATGGGGCAACTGCGGGATTCATAAGTATATTAATCATCAATTGAAATCTTCCAGTAGAAAGCGGGTGATCCATGGTTCATGGATTGCTCTAAATTTTCGGCCACAGTGCCCTCGGGTCTAGCGGTCAGTGTTTTATTTGAGCGTCCAATAAATTCTAGATTTGGCTTTGGACAGCCCGAGTGTGCTGGACAGCCCCAGTGTGCTGGACAGCCCCAGTGTGCTGGACAGCCCCAGTGTGCTGCACAGCCCGAGTGTACTGGACAGCCCGACTGTGCTGGACAGCCCCAGCGTGCTGGACAGCCCCAGTGTGCTGGACAGCCCCAGTGTGCTGGACAGCCCCAGTGTGCTGGACAGCCCCAGTGTACTGGACAGCCCGAGTGTACTGGACAGCCCGAGTGTGCTGGACAGCCCGAGTGTGCTGGACAGCCCGAGTGTGCTGGACAGCCCCAGTGTGCTGCACAGCCCCAGTGTACTGGACAGCCCCAGTGTACTGGACAGCCCCAGTGTACTGGACAGCCCGAGTGTACTGGACAGCCCGAGTGTGCTGGACAGCCCGAGTGTACTGCACAGCCCGAGTGTACTGCACAGCCCGAGTGTGCTGGACAGCCCGAGTGTACTGGACAGCCCGAGTGTGCTGGACAGCCCCAGTGTGCTGCACAGCCCCAGTGTGCTGGACAGCCCCAGTGTACTGGACAGCCCGAGTGTACTGGACAGCCCGAGTGTGCTGGACAGCCCGAGTGTGCTGCACAGCCCGAGTGTACTGCACAGCCATGCTTTCATAACGGTCTGTTTCATGGCTGTCAGGACATGGGTCAGAATAGTAAATTAGTATTTTGTGGGTCCTTTTGGTTTTGGATTGAAGGGTTCGTGTGACTGAAGCAACATAGCAGTGTAGGAGTCATATCATCCCAAAATGTCTGTACTATGCGGGCAGGTCCAACAATTGTGTAGGAAGGTTCCTGGTTCCGGCAAGCCGCAAATACAAAATCGGTGAGCAGTCTGGAGTAATGTGAGCTCGATGGGTGAGTACTACCATCATTAGACAGATACTTGTAATGAGAAGACTCAGGAAAAGATACGTCTCCCTTGAGGGTGAAATGTCATGGAGTACAACTGTCACGGCTGGATGCGTTCTAGGAATGGCATTTGGGGGGTCAACCTACCTGCAGCTCCAGCTGAGGGGTCAGCATGGGAGGAGAGAAAAGACGCATTATAAAACGACCAGCTGCGGACAATGAGGGAAAGTTGCACGTCGGCTGTCACCAGACATAATACTATCACTTCCATCCTCGGGGGTTTTAAAGGAAGCTCAGAGTAAAACGAAATTAAGAATGAATATCCCAAAGGACTAGCTGCCTAGCCGTGTCTGCATTCATGTTATTTAGTTTTAGAGTTCCGCATAATAGAACTAAAAATACAAAAGACAACTAACGGCGCTAATGGAAGGGGGTCCGGACTAAAACCAGTGTGCTGCCCTGAGAAACAGGAGGAGGACCTGTGCGAACTGCAATGTAAGCCGCAGAAGGGCGCAAAACTTGGGGAAGTGGGTGGTTGTCGTAACACTAGACCAATGTGCAGAAGACCCAATCTGCAAAATGAATGTACACTTACGTTTAGACTTAAGGACCGGAGAAGAGGCGGCCGTGGAGGAGGATCAGAGATCCTGTGATCTTGTCTGGTGGCTGGTGTGCCGTCAGGGCATGCCTGTCACGGCTGGAGGGTGTAGAAATGGGGACCGAAGGGGGAGGAAGGGCAGTGTGAGGAGACCGTCCGTGTTACTCCTCACACTGCCCTTCCTCCCCCTTCGATGGCTACGTGAATGTACACTTACGTTTAGACGGAAGGACCGGAGGAGAGGCGGCCGTGGAGGAGGATCGGAGATACCAGGATCGGTGATCTTGTCTGGTGGCTGGTGTGCCGTCAGGGCATGCCTGTCACGGCTGGAGAGCGTAGAACGGGGGACCGGAGGGGGAGGAAGGGCAGTGTGAGGAGTAACACGGACGGTCTCCTCACACTGCCCTTCCTCCACATGGGAGCTGTACCATCACTGTATGGATGGATGGATGGAGCTCCGTCACAGCACAGCAGCCCGCACTGGACCCCAGGCCGAGGATCCGCCCCAGTTATAAGGTGAGGAGAATGGGCGGACCTTAAATAAAAATTAGTTTAAAATAAACTTTTTTAAAAAGTGTGAATGTCGGTGAGATTGTGTCTGTGGGCGTGTGTGTCTGTCAGTGCATTTGAGGGCCTCTTCCTCACTAGTACAGTGCGTTAGTCACCGTGCGATTAACGCACTACACCACGCAATCACACCTACCGCGCATTCTGGTTTGGGAGGCGTGTTGCGTTGCCATTCATTTTCAGTGATCTTGTCTGGTGGCTGGTGTGCCGTCAGGGCTGGTGAGCGTAGAACGGGGGACCGGAAGGGGAGGAAGGGCAGTGTGAGGAGTAACACGGACGGTCTCCTCACACTGCCCTTCCTCCCCCGTTCTACACCCTCCAGCCGTGACAGCACACCAGCCACGAGACAAGATCACCAATCCTGGTATCTCTGATCCTCCTCCACGGCCGCCTCTCCTCCAGTCCTTCCGTCTAAACGTAAGTGTACATTCACGTAGCCATCGAAGGGGGAGCCATTGAAGGGGGAGGAAGGGCAGTGTGAGGAGTAACACGGACGGTCTCCTCACACTGCCCTTCCTCCCCCTCCGGTCCACAGTTCTACGCTCTCCAGCCGTGACAGGCATGCCCTGACGGCACACCAGCCACCAGACAAGATCACCGATCCTGGTATCTCCGATCCTCCTCCACGGCCGCCTCGCCTCTGGTCCTTCCGTCTAAACGTAAGTGTACATTCGTTTTGCAGCTTGGGTCTTCTGCACATTGGTCCTAGTTTTACGATAACCACCCACTTCCCCCAAGTTTTGCGCCCTTCCGTGGTTTACATTACATAATAGAACTAAAGCTGCTTTGGACATTCTCTAAGTGTTCAGAACCAACAGCTGCAGACTATGTCACCTCGGGCAGAGATGCATCATAGACTGAGACGCTCGTGTTTAATGATGGTAATTAGCAAGACTGCTAGGGAAACTGAGGCGCTGGAACATTAGGATTTAAAATAGAGACTTTTGGAGCTCACACTTTAATCAAAGAGATCAAGTGAACAATAAATGTATATAATGAATCGCGAGCTTTGTCCCGACAGCCCAACACTGACCAGTACGCACAGCAGCTGTGGTAAAGTCTGAATATACACTCAGTTTAATGTATACGACGAGTCTCCAACCATAAACACGTCATTAAATCCTTCATTATTAGCCCCATCCATCATCCAGAAGCCTCCGAGCGCTGTTTCCTGCCCGGGCCCCGGACACGCTCTGATGAGACTGGGCAGAGCAGAGGAGACAGTGAAACCCGGTTGTATTTTTGGCACCATCTCCCAGCCAACAATACAAGCGTTATAGAAGATGACAGTCCGTGTTCCCATTGCACTCCTTACCGCTGATCCATAATAATAGGATGGGAGCATCAGTAGTCGACGGATGCAGTGGCGTCACAAGGGGGGTGCGGCCCGCACCTGGGTGCCACCATTGGAGGGGTGACACCAAAATGACTTAGTCATTTTGGTGTCACCCCCCTCTGAAAAGTCGGGCGCTCGGTCATGGACCGAACAGCCGACAGTATCAGGAGAGAGGAGGGGACCCGGCGGCATACCTCATCCCGCCGGGTGACTGTCTCCTCCGCTCTCTCTGCCGGCGTCCATCACCAAGACGGCCGCCGTCAGTTATCGGAATACTGCCGCGCATGCGCGGTGACGTCTCGGCAGGGTGACACTCGGTTACCGCTCCGGGTGTCACCCAACCTCGGGACGCCCCTGGACGGATGGCCACCGTCTGTATAGTATAAGAAATGATGGACACCGGCACGCCAAAGTAGAATAACGTCTATTTATTGACGTTTCATGCAACATAAGTGTCAATAAACAGACGTTATTCTACTTTGGAGTGCCGGTGTCCATCATTTCTTATAGAAGATGACGTCACCTCTAAAACCGAATAAAAAGGAGACTGTGCCAAGGACTGACAATGCTGGAAATTCAGCAGCGGGACTGCAGTGTTACTGGCCTGATACAGTAAATGGGACCCCAATGGGAGGACTGGCAGGATCAACAGGACAATGCTTTCATGCTGCTCATTTGCTCGCAATGAAACATTTGGCAGAGGAGCTGCTCTGAATATGAAAAGGTGTCGTTGCTCCTACCCGAATACGCTTGGCTCTCCGCATGTCTTCAGGCGTCAGGACGCTATGGGACACGGCGGCTGGGGACTGCGCAGGGGGGACACCGGCCTGCAGGACCTGGCCGTCTGGCTGCTGGTGGTCGGCTGGATCCTGCGACACTGTACCCAGAGAGAGTTCGGATTGATCCAGACCATTCATCGTAGCGTGACCCATCTCTTCAAAGTGCGACCGTTTACTCTGGAAATGCAGAAGGTCCTGAAAGAGGCAAGAATAGAGGATGAGCAGTTTTATCATGTAGAATACGGCTGTGGAGGAGGAGGAGGAGGAGGGGGAGGAGGATGAGGAGGATGAGGATGATGAGGAGGAGGAGCAGTTTTATCATGTAGAATACGGCTGTGGAGGAGGAGGAGGAGGAGGGGGAGGAGGATGAGGAGGATGAGGATGATGAGGAGGAGGAGCAGTTTTATCATGTAGAATACGGCTGTGGAGGAGGAGGGGGAGCAGGAGGAGGAGGAGGAGCAGGAGGAGGAGGAGTAGGTAGACAATGTATGCATTATGATGGCAAGTTTTTATAGTTACAGCCTCTGTACAGGAAACCCTGAGCTGATGTTTCATAGAATGCGCCGCTCACCTGACCCCCCAGACTGCACTTTTCCCGATTATCTCCAGAGAAATCCAAGCGCATAAATTTTGGAGGTCTCCCCGGCCTCCTCCCGGGTCCAAATTTCCTCTTCGTCCTCCCTCGGCCGCGTCCCTTGGTTCTGTCGTCATTGAAGAAACATACAAACTGGTGACTTTTTTCATCAAGAAACTGTTCTTTGAAAAGTACCAAATCCTTCAAATTTTTCTCACGATTTTGTTTTTACAGAAAAGTGAGAAATCAGCAAGTACAGAACGAGGACAAGCGAGAGAACATAGAGGGGAGGAAGTGCGACCTAGGAACCTCTTCCTACAGACATTGAATGCAGAAACATCGGCCATAACCAGGGAGGATAGAATGACAGACAGTGTGATCATTAGAGTGACATTGTATAGTTGTAAGGAAACAAAAAGGTTAAAAAAAAAATATATATATATTTATACACTGAGGGGCCGGATTATTATATACACTGAGTGGCCGGATTATTATATACACTGAGTGGCCAGATTATTATATACACCGAGTGGCCGGATTATTATATACACCGAGTGGCCGGATTATTATATACACGGCATGGGCGGATTATTATATACACCGAGTGGCCGGATTCTTATATACACTAATCACAAGACATAAAGACAATACCAGAGGAAACACGTCTGCACACACAGGTAGAACACACGTGACTCAAACACACAGGGGCACCTGCTGAAGAAGTCCAGCTTCTCGTCGTGGGAATTGAGGTGCTGCTGTAGTTGTTCGGAGCTCATGAAGCGGCGGTTGCATTCATAACATGGCCAGTTCTTCTCTTGCTCTCGGAGGACTGGCAGGCATAATAACCAGGTATGTTACACAGCACAACATGCAGGCATCACATCATGGTAAGAAATAACAAGAGACTGTTTATGAATTCTAATGTAAACGGAAAAGGCATCAACAAAGCTGGCCGCACACGGCTCTATTTTATCTTTCAACCGACAAGCACATTGATCGAGGAATCCTCGTCCTTTCCTTTGTATTCTGATAGACGCCGATGGCTACCTTGTAATAGATATAGTGTAATAGATATAGTATAATAGATATAGTGTAATAGATATAGTGTAATAGATATAGTGTAATAGATATAGTGTAATAGATATAGTGTAATAGATATAGTGTGGGCTGAGGTGGGCCCGTGGCCACGCTGTTAGGGGGGATACCAAATGAAAAGGTGATGGAATTTTAAGTTATAAAGAGGGACGGGAGACAAACGCTTCCCCCTACAACGTCAGGCAGGAAAGGGAAGAGGAGGAGTTTAAATAGCCATAATCCCCGCCCACAAATACTGGTTAATAAATTAACCTTCATACTTATTTTCTAAACA